GGAGGACTTTACTTTGTGTGTGAGTGAAGGAGGGGGTGAGGGGGGGGACTTTACTTTGTGTGTGAGTGAAGGAGGGGTGAGGGGGAGGACTTTGTGTGTGTGTGTGAGTGAGGGGGTTGACTTTGCTTTGTGAGACAAAAGGCTGTTTTGTGAGTGAGATAGAGAGAGAGGGACGACTATGCTTTGTGAGAGAGAGGGATAAATTTGTTTCGTGAGTCAGAGAGAGATGGCTTTGTTTTGTTAGAGAGATGGGGATGAATCTACTCTGCGAGTGAGAGAGAGTTGACTTTGCTTTGTGAGTGAGAGTGAGAGAGACAACTTTGTATTTTGTGAGTTGGTGAGAGAGGGGTAACTTTGTTTTGTGAGGGAGAGAGAAGGTGAACTTTGTTTTGTGAGTGAGAGGAGGGGAGAATTTTATTTAATGGGGGGGTGGGGTAGAACTTTGTTTTGTGAATGGTTTAGATGAACTTTGTTTTGTTAGTGAGAGAGAGAGGCGACTTTGTTTTGTGGATGAGGGAAAAAGAGGGATGGATTTATTTTGTACATAAGTGAGAGACTAGAGAGAAAACTTATTTCATGAATGAGCGGTAGAACTTTGTTGTCAGCATTTGATTTACATGGTTGTAACTTGCGGACATTCTGATATCATTTGCCACAGTAACATGGCTCGCTGCTGCTACAGCATACACTATTTGGCTACACATACAAGCAATTAATATACTTAATGATATTGAAGTATAACTGCATGTTTTGTGTTTTTGGTAGAAGCAGTCTTCCAGTTTTGTAGAAATTGTCCAGCTTTTGTATGTATGTTCAACAGATATCAAGAAATAGAGCCGTTGTTGTCCTCCTAATGGGTGTCTTGAAATGTCTCAAGTTTCTCCTGTTGTGGCAGTAGTTGATTAAAAGGTTACTCAACGATGACTGTTGTAGAAAAGGTGTTAATTTTTTTCAGAGACATAGAGACTAATGATGGTAAAAGTACTGACCGTAAAATTAGATTTTCTGTCTGAAATGGAAATTCCCGTTACTGCACTCCACTTAGATCTAACCTTGTACCTATGAGTTTCAACATCTTTCTCTATTTATATTGCGTATTGCAGATGTGTTCAGTGTGCAAGCAGAAGGGAGCGATGATTGGCTGCTTACACAAAGGGTGTTCAATGAAGTTCCACGTCGTCTGTGCAATAGACAAAGGTGAGACATATGGGTGGGGAAATGATGGAATGGAGGCAATTGTTTTTTTCTAATGTATACAGTAGAACACAACTATAGGGATGGTCCTGCTGCAGCTATAGTCATGTTTTACTATTTAATGTATTTGTGTTCAAAACCTGCTTTTTGTCTTTCTCAAAGTTAACATAATCACAAAACAAAACAAAAATCATAGCTTTATGGAAAATGCTTTTCCTTACCTCAGCGGATACTGAACTTAATGAGATCTGCTTTAAAGTTCTGTATAAAAGCAATGGATTTGCCCTTTATAGATGTTTGCAGATTTGCAAATTCCTTTTTGTTGGGGGGGGTTGGCCTCTGAGAATGAAGGCACCAATGTTGCTTTTATTCAGATTCAGTTTGTACAGTTTGTGTTGTCTGTAGCTCATGTTAAAATGCAGTCATTTGCACTTCAACTGTTCTTAGACCCATGTCTGCTAAGTGTCACAAAGTTACATTGGCCTGTATTGTGATTTTGAATCCATCCACAGAATGCTACATGGACGAGGAAAACCTGTCGTTATTGTGTCCCCGGCATAAGGTAATTTTGGTTTTCTTGTTGTGTACCGCACATTTAACGTGAGACAGCTGGAATCTGACGCCTAAATTATCTACTTTTTTTACGGGGGCAGGTGGGGGGGGCTTAAATTTTCAGGATTGTTTGTAACTTGAGTACAACATTCTGGTTGGCTATGTTTTAAGTTGTTTTTTGTTTTTATTCCGGTGAGTTTGTTGGGAAAGAGTTCATTATCATAGTTTGTCCTTCTATGTTGGACGATCACCACTGCATTTGCAGAGGACCATATTATTTCTTAAGGGGCTGTAATGAAGGCCTTTCTGTTTATAGCATTGTGCTCCGTAGGTTTTGAAAAATTCCTGTTGCAGGTGGGTATCTTCTCACATGAAAACTATAAAACTATTTCTCAACCGCTCTTTAGTCTTTCTTCTATCTCTCTCTCTCTCTCTCTC